CCAATGTCGAGTCGATGTTAGACTTATATTAAGGCAAGGTATCGAATTTTGTCAGCAACATTTTCCCATTTATTTGCTCGTGGAAGTTTAATTCATGGAAACTTTTAAGTTCTTAATCGCTCATGATAAAAAAATTTGTCATATTTATATACCGAACGAATCTAATTTTAAATTGAAAAAACAAATGCACCTCTGGATAAGAAAGAAAAATCAAATCTTGCACGTATCTTCATATTGCATGATTGTTCCTTCCATGTAAGTTACATTACGTTATAATTGAGCACTGTTGATTGCGACTGTTTATTTATTCACGAATGAAATTAAATCGTAATGCAAACGGCGCATCTAGTTAGGAAATAATTACATGCGCGCGTTTTATGACGGCAAATTAACCGTGCCCGGTGAAAATGCGCAAAACTCCGGACGATTATTTCTGTAAAGCCGTCGCGCAGATTTTGTAAATCGCGGCTATGACGATTAAACGGAAACGCACAATCATCGGGGTTCAAGATCGCGGCGAGAGCGCAAGGAACGGAAAGTCTCGGCGCGTAACACGCGCTACCCTGAGTGAGTCGCGCGAGCCCTTTGTGCCGCTCATTTACTTTAATTACGTCCTAATTGCGTTGCATTAATTTTAATTACAAACAGGAAAGCGTCTACGTTTATGGCATTGGCGTGACTGTGCGACGGGCTCGCGCTGCGTTCGTTATTTGGCCAACGAAAACATTGTCCCTTTGCGGCTTCAAATCCGCTGATTTTCATTAGACTATTTCGCCCGCTTTTTGTTTTTATATCGTACCTATGTAGGATATAAGACACCGACAAGAAACGGTGTCACAAAGACAGTGAAAAACCACATTTATTATAAACCGTGAAACACGCTCGAAAATTAATTAATTTAATATGCACTGCAATATTCGCGCGCAGGTATTTGTAAACAGTTAAATTACGTACCCTTTACGTATAACGTGGTCGACTTGGAGTACTCTGTGCCTACGGAATTGTTAGCAACGCATTCATACTTCCCCTGATCGCTTACGTCGGATTCGGTAATCTGCAAGGCACCTGAAATGCAAACGGAATATTCCATCAACAAGATATTCTCTCCTAACGTATCGATTACAAGTAGCGCTTTTATAAGCTTCCGAGACGTATCCTTTCAACATTTCGTGATACCGGATTACGCGCAGCTACGCATATCGGACTCTATTACGTCAATTACTATCATTTGTTATTGTCTCTTGACCCTATTTTTAATTAACGCGATCAGATTTATTTATTCGACAGCGCAGGTTTATAAATCGTCAGAAATGATGTGAGGACGGACGATGAGAAACGTCCTTTGGCGTACTGCGTTCTGAGCAATCTCCGTTTCGTGCAATTAAATTTATAAGTACGATAATGTGTATACGGTAACGAGCCCTGTGACGGAACCGCGTGAGTTTGAGCGAACGTCTATATTCTCTGCCGCTCGTCGCGTCTTTTACTTCATTTTTCCAGCGCTAATAGAGTTCCTACCGCGTCCTGCGGAGACGTCGAGCTCCGGTAGGGCTGCAAAAGGTCGACCTCCTCGCGTCGCCCTTTTCTCCCTCACCCTACCCGTCCCTTTTCCTTTCCCCACCCTGACTCGTACATTCCGTTTTCCGTCCGGCTTTCGGGGGTTCGTGCGGGCGCTTTTCACGATGCATCAGCTCCTTCGGAGCGCGATACCGCGATGATAAACCGGCCGTTGCGAGGCGTGTGATTATCTTCGCCGACGTCACTACCGGCCCGGTATAATTCAAGCCCTCCCCGTGACCTTCTCCACTCTCACGAAGGAGCCGCCCTGCCCATTCGTAAAGTAAACACACCGGCGAATACCGGGAATCGAGAATGGGGCGTAGAACGGGAGACTGCCGTTGGGATCGATCGTTCGCTTTCAATCTTTCTAACATTTTATCGACGATGACGGTTTAAATTAGGGGATGGTCCCCGAGTGAGATAAACGGCGTCCAAGTGCAAATACATTGTAAAATTAACGCCGCGATGCCGCGGTCGCTCGGTAAGACGTGCGGCGTCTATTACGAAGATAAAACTCACGGGGTGAGACGGCCGTATGTGAACCGCGGCAGGCTGCATCGGGAACGAAAACGCGACTACACGAACGGGCGGATTGGTTTACCTCGAAACTCGCGGTAAACCCCGAATATTTTTTTCCCCCGGAAGACAAATATCGTGCGCGGACCGGTGCGTTGTTTCCCTTGCGAGCGAACGAACGAACGAAACATGTGCGCGAACTGTTAAAGGGTTCCGTTTGGTTATTATGGCCCCCGGGTTAAAACGGAGTCCGCAATTATCGGCGTGACCCGGCGCGGCTGTTAATTTCGCAGGCCGCCGAATTTTCGCCGGCCGCCGATTTCGGAATTCGTTATCCGTCCGAGTAGGTTCACGTGCCATACGCGGCGGTTTTCAGTAGGCGCATTGCGATCGTGACTCTGATTGATCGTGGGGGAAAGAGACAACGGAGACGGGTAGTGGCGTAATTAAAATTTTGGGGAGCTTGTCCCTCGCCCTTGATTGAAAATCTGAATCCTTAATTAATATGTAGCTATTTCAATGACTCATAATTATCCGTTTCAATCTTCCCCCTTCACCTTTTAAACGTTTCATTTTACTAATTCGTACGAAACGTTTGATAAAATTTCAAGAACGACGTTCTATCGTTGCACTCTAGCCAAGGATAGAACGAACTTTTGCAATATTAATTATAACTTGGTTATATATCACATCTAAATCTTATAACATTAAAGTTTTTTTATGCATGTAGTAAGTATAGACTGCGAGAGTTTAAACTTCGTACTGCGATTTATCGAGATAGTCCTGGTAAGGAAAGAACTCGCCTAGGATAGAATTCGGTAAAGTATTTGGTAGATAGACGAGAAAGAAACGGAAGAGAGAGTAAGGGTCGAGGGTAGAAAACACTCCATCACGAGTGAGAAGCGAGGCGGACTGATATCGCGTACGATCGGAATACGTAATCGTGCCTCATCTACAATTTCCCGTAAGCCGACCAGGAAGGAACGCCCGCGCGCGGTCGTATTGTTATCCCGATGGAATCACGTGCGCATTGTTAGCGCACCGACGCGAAAAAGTTATACCCGGCGTAGAGTATGGCCTAACACGTTATCTATCCGCTATCCGGAAAAGTTCCCTTCACGCGAACAGCAAATATGAAGGACGAAGGACGAGGAGTATGTATCACGATTTTTAGATCCTTCACAATTTCCATATTTGAAGTTACCATTTTCGTTAAATTAGGAGTGGAATATACAATTGGAATTTGTCGCGTTGCTGTACCGTTAATTGGGGCTTTTTGTCTTTTTTAATTAATTGTTACTTCAACTTGGTTCAAGTGCCTTTCCTCACAGACGAACTCGCAAACGAGCTCCCGCGCGCCTATTGGAATTTATTTTCCAACTCGGGAAATATATATCATTTCATTAGGTTTCAGCCTCTGCTGAGATTTAAGTTTCTTTCAAGTTGATGCTTGATTGTGAATTATTTTTCAAAAGTGAAATTCTTACTTCTTTAAAGAAACTGGAATGTTAACGACCTGCTATTTATCCACGTCTTAATTTAATTTTTCTAATAATTACTCACATACTATCGTGCGCGCGCGTATGTTGAATCAAATTATGACGCGAAGGTTCTTTAACGCATTTACACCAATATTAAAAACAATTAACGTCTTTTTCTCTCCATCTTACGGGTTTCACTAACGCTAGTTTTAACGTCCCATTGTCTGGTCGGTGCCATAACTTCTCACTTTATCGCGTATACGTGCGAGACGTAAAGAACAATGTAGAATTAACAGGCGAACGCGCGAATTACCATTGGTTTAACGATAACATTTATACGGCGTAATAGCCGCTTAAAATATTCATAGGTGCTGCGAAGAGGGACGCGATGATGAACAATTAGATCTCGAACACGTGGGACCCGACTCGAGATGACGGTAATGCACCGCGCGCGGACTGTTTCCTATAAATTTTAAATAATCAGCGCATGCGAGCCGCTTTAAGTATGATCGGCACATATAACGCCAGAGGGAACATGAAGAGACATTTGCGTTAAAAGCCACCGACATAATACCCTGTTCAACTTTTCATAATCCCAGTTTACCGTATCGATCGGGTAGTCGGAGTCAGGAATATTTTAAATGGGTAGTAGAATAGATAGTGCGATATCTCTATCTTTTTGCCGTAAAATTTCCAGTTGAAAAATGACTCGTTCGTCGAAACTGAATATTTTTGCATAATAGACTTTTTGCACTTTTAAAAGTGGCGTGATTTCGGATTTGAGACTGTAAATATTATATAAGATATCGTGTCGATTTGTCAATCGCACATCTCTTACAATCAGATTGTTCTCATGGATTTTCAAATTCGATTTGCACCGCTAGAAATATAACGGCATGTATCTCTTTCTTCAATCGTTAAAACAATATTGCGTACCTCGAGAAAATGTTCACGCTACTCTTTCATCTTGAAGATCGATGCAATATACATACGTAAATGTCTAAGTTTGGACCGTATTTTATGATGCACTAGGGACACAAAAGATGGATTGCATCGATTCAAGCGCAATTTTTAATATCGCGTCTGCCGTATATAAAATTACGAAAACTGCTTCTATTTCCATGTTTTATTTCGGCAGCGGTATAATGTCTTGTTTTTATTAAATAGTTGTTACTGATGCATTTTGTTTTTACATCCATGGGATATGCAACGAGATACGCGGCTGAATAAAAATAATAGGTGAATACCACGGCCCTCTCGCGCTAGGTCGATCGATATTCCCAGTACATAACAATTAACGACTTTCACGAACTTTGATACGTAAAGCAAGCAGATTTTTTTACGAGAAAAAATCGGCTTAAAATTCATTGAGGAATCTGTCACCGATGGCCAAGTAAAGGCTTGAGATAAGTCCATTATTAAACGCATATCCCGCTTGTAATGTTCTGCTTTTTAATAGAGCAAGAGGATAGAATCTGCTATATAAGCTCTGTGCATCTAATAATCTAAGATCTCTGTTTTATAGTCGAGATTCCATATAATTCGCTCTTACGTTTTAAGGAAAGAAACGTATAAAATGGAATTGCAACTTGTCTTTCATAAAATGTACGTGTGTGAGACATGCGTACATTAAAGGCAGACAAACGACTGAGTGAGCGCGAGATGCAATAGTGTTCTTTCGTTGTTTTCCAATCGACCGATTCAATCCAGACGAACGGCTTCGCCACCGATGCGCCGGATGCGCGCCGATCGGATGTACCGGTGGGGGGGGGGAAGAGTGTCGAATTTTCCTTACGCTTTGGAAAATCGTATTCGTATCTCGCGGAAGCTTCGCGCGACACATTCCGCCTGTCAGTAGGCGCAGCGACAGCATTTTTCTCGGGCCTCTCCGCGAGATCCCGGATTACGCGCGGGGATATGCAGCGGCACGAGCGTGTGTGCGCACGATGCAGGCGAAAGGGCGTATACACGGCCGCTATTTGTGTGTTTGCCGACCAATATTGAAATGTCCCCTCTTACATTTAATATCACGGGAGCAAATGCGACGCGTGTACGCATGTACGGGCACGCATACCCCGGACGCGCGGTACGCGCGACGACGAATGCATCAAGTGCGTCGTCTCACTCTGTCTCTTCGCCTCATCCTCCGCTTCTGGATAACACGCGTGGGGTGGAATCGAAGGATGAAGCGGGGATGAATTCGCCGCGCACACGACACGGTGAATACAGGATTCCATCCGGATAGAATACAAATAGGAAATATGTTTACACACTCCGAAAGCATTCCGAGATGTACGCCGCGCGTGTACCTTCGATGCGCCCATCGCGCGCATTTGCCGCGACACTTTTTAATCCCGGCCGGTGTATTCAGCGCGGAATTTCGTTTCAATTATATTAAGAGTTCGCATCGGCGTTTTTGCGATTTAGTAGTTTTCGATCATTAAGGATGATTCGGAAAACAGCCGCGGGTGTTTCCAATTTTTTCTTCTCTCTCTCGGGTCAAATGTG